CTCAGACAGGCCCACAACTTTCCCATCTGGGAGCTGTCTCTTATACACATCTATATGTTTATAACAGTCTCTCTCTCTCTCTCTCTCTCTCTCTCTCTCTCTACCTGGGCTGAATCTTACTCTTTGAGATGCAAGGGGTTGAGTCTTACTCCTTGAGATGCAAGTGGTGAATTGTTTCCTTTTCTTTTCTTTTGTCAATTAATCCTTCGTTTCTTGACGCCAGGGGGGTTAACCTTTTGTTTCGTTCTTTGAGGTGTCATCGTAAGGATATCTCGTATTCTGTTAAAATGAGTAGCTCGCAAGACTCTCTTCTTTGGCTATTCGAGTGCCGTCCCTTGAGAGCAAAGGCGGGTGAGAAACACTCCTCTCTCTCTCCACACATTGAGAAAGAGGAAACGAAGCAAACTGCTGGAACAAATATTTTCATTGCTGTCTATTGTGTAGAACAGGGTTCAATGCTTGTTATTGAAAAAGAAACAACCAGTTGGTGAATTTCTTCTGCTTGACCGTTTGTTTCTGGATGACGGCTGCATGCCATACTTCGTTGTGCATCGTACATGTGGATGCTGAATTCTTAGCTCCATTGTAAATGGGAGAGGTTTCAACCATGGTATCTGCAGACCCGGACCCAGACATGTCTGGACAGACACCCAGACATTTGTCTGCACCAGTCCAGACATCCAGTCGTCCTGACAGGTACCAGACCACCGGAAAGGACCGGACCCGGACTGTCTGGACTGGTTCCCCGAACCCCAAAAATGTCCGGACCAGTAAAAAAATAGATAAAAAAAATGGCGCATAATAGTATGATGACCTGCCCCTCGTTACCTCCACTGCTCTTTACCTCCCTCATTACCTGCCTCCTTGTTACTTGCCCCCTCGTTACCTCCACTGCATTGACTACTCTTTACTTCCTCCCTCCACATCGCCGCCTCCATATTACCTCCTCCCTCCACATCGCCGCCTCCATGTTACCCCCTCCTCCCTCCACGTTCCCTAATCCCTCTACATTACCTCTCCCTCCACGGTACTTCCGCTGGTCGCCACGTTATGTCCTCCTCCCTTCACGATCTCCGGCTCCCTCGATGTTGTCCTCCTCCCTCCATGTTAGCTTCACGATGTTCACTCCACGTTGTCCTTCTCCCTCCTCATTGCCGCCCCCATGTTACGCTCTCCTCTGTTCATGTCACCTCCTCCTCCCCCCACGTCACCTTTGCGACGTTCCGTCCATGTTATGTCCTCCTCCCTTATAATCGCCGCCTCCATGTTACATCCTCCCTCCACGTTGCCTCCTCCCTCCATGCTACCTTCACGACGTTCCATGTTATGTCCTCCTCCCTCCACGTTACCTCCCCCCTCTCCACGTCATTTCCTCCTCCCTCCACGTTACCTCCCCCCCTCTCCACGTTATGTCCTCCTCCCTTTATGATCTCCTCCCTCCATTGTGTCCTCCTCCCTCCACGTTACCTCCTCCGTCCATGTCACTACCCCGTCTCCATGTTATGTCCCCCTCCCTTTACGATCTCCTTCTCCCTCCATGTTCTCCTCCTCCCTCCATGTTACCTCCTCCGTCCACGTCACCTCCCCCTCTCTCCAAGATATGTCCCCCTTCCTCCATGTTCTCCTCCTTTCTCCATGTCACCTTTGGGACGTTCCCTCCATGTCCTGCCCGCCTTCTACTTGATTCCTGCTTGTTGAAGAACAGCAAGAAAGCAGCGGGAAAAAAAAAACATTGTGAATGGAGAGAGAGAGAGAGAGAGAGAGAGAGAGAGAGAGAGAGAGAGAGAGAGAGAGAGAGAGAGAGAGAGAGAGAGAATGCCCGACCCTCCTCCTCGCCCTCCTCTGCATCTTCGACCATCCTCCTCCTGGACACCATCCATCAACCTTCGACTCCCACCATTGATTGCCCTCTACTCCGTTTGTCCTTGTTGTAGAATAGTGCGAGGATCTGCATCCTTGGCATGCCCGTATGGGGGCCCAGCTGCAAGCCTTGCGCCCACCCTAAGTGAAGGTGGGCCGGGCCCCAATATCTCTATGAGGCCTGAAAATTGCCCAGCTGCAAGCCTTGCGCCAACCCTAAGTGAAGGTGGGCCGGGCCCCAATATCTCTACGAGGCCTGAAAATTGCAAATTTGCAGGCCATTGTGGGCGCCAGACAGTTGCCACGCGCCAGTTGGTTACATGAGCCCTGCTCACGAGCATCAGAATCTTCCGTGAGCCTTCTTGGTTCGTCTGCCTACGATGTTGAAGTAGGCCTCTCGGCCCATCACGAAGCGGGGAACACATCACTGGGCGCTGGGTGGTTAGGCGCTGGTTAGGCTACAGGCCACTGTCTGAACGGGGCTAGGTGCAGACACACTTTGGCGCAGCGTGAAGCGACTGGGCACACGGGCCACCCAGTCCAGCCACTCACTCCCGGCAGCCTACGTGCCTGGCTACTTTCCATATAGGAAAGAGCCAGGCAGCGAGAGGCTCATTCGGGTACTCACTTGTGGGTGGTAGCGCTGCTGGATTGGCGTTCGAGGCTGCTAGCAGCGGTGAGCCTAGGTGCACGCGGGCGGTGGAGGGAAGGTGGGCGCCGCTGGTGGCAGTGCCTGCCATAGACGGGCAGGGAGACAAGAGTCAGCGGAGGTGGTGGTGGTCTTTGTACGGGGTTTTAGAGAGAGAGGGAGCGCTGTGGGTGAAGTCGAGGGTGGGCATTGGGAAGGGGAGTGATGAAGGGAGATGTGAGAGCACGTACGTGGTCGTCATGGAGGTCTGCATGAGCGACATCTGCATGTACTGTGGTTGCTGCTGCTGACGTCATGTGGTTGCTTCGTCACTAGGATAGGCTAGTGTAGGAGCTGTATGATTGTAGTCTGGGGACTCTGGGCCCTGAGCGCCAGTAGGAGAGAAGACTTCGGATACACTGTTGATGGTGGCGAGAGAAGGCTTTCATTGACAACTGAGTTCGTTGCTTTGGCTCTTCTTCGGTGTGATATCAGTGCACTTCTGCTTTCTGCACAGCTCACGACTATCTGGCTTTCAATGTGATGTTGCAAGTCTAGTTTTTACTCTTATATGTGGTATTCATTCTTGTTTGACTCTTGGATTGAGATCTACAGACTCTCGAAAAAGTAGTTTCTTCTTTTTTACCACATTGCCTACTTTATTACCTTTAATTCTTTTTTGTACTTCATATCAAACTGAGGACGGAATTTGTCATTTCGCTATTGCTCATTTTCCTTGCAATAGCAAAAAAGGCTCCCCAAAAAAGAAGAAAACTCGTGAATGGAGGGGGAGGGGAGAGAGAGAGAGAGAGTTGGCGGGCACTCTCCTTGGCGGGCGATGGCGGCCACTCTCCTTGCGGGTGACAAGAGTGTTGGGGGGCGAGGATATACCCACTCCAATGCAGGCTGCAGCTCACAGAAGCGTTTGGGCAGGTTTTTCCTTCGGGCGCGAGGGATTCTGAAAACAACCTCGGCAGCGGTGTCTGGTGGCATCCCATAGGCCCTCTGACGGCCAAAAAATACTGGGGGTATTCTTCGGGGGCAGCCTAGGACCTGAAAAACCTCCTAGGCGGCCCTTTTTTTGTTTGTTC